ATTTATAGGCTCCAATCCCTCCTCAATTTTCCTATCCCACCGATGTGGGACTTTGAAGTAACACTCAACAAATCTCCCCTTAATTCAAAGTCCTACATCATTTGCGATTTCTGCAGCGATACTCCCATCCTGCAGAATCTTCTGTCCAGCAGTACTCTTATCTTCAGAAGAGATCATCTTCATAAGTGATCACATTTGCGGAAGAAGCTTCCTTCGATTTGCCCTTCTTCTCCTTTAGGATCTGCAAGTCTTCTTTGAGTTCTGGACAATCGTTCTTCGTGTGACCCAACTTTTCACAGTAATAGCACCTAACAGTGCTCATGTCTCTTAGATGCGATCTTCTCCCAAGTTGGTCACTCTTCTTCCTCCTCCCTTTCTCAACACTCACAGCAGTTAGTAAATGATTGTCCCTGGAAGACTCTTCACCTCCCATCATCCTTTGACTCTCCTTCAAGGCAGTCGTCACCTCATCTAGTCGCAGTGTAGTCCTTCCTGCTATCATTGATTGCACAAACGGCTTAAAGGATTTTGGTAGTGAAGCCAGTAGAAGCAGCTCTTGCTCTTCATCCTTGATAGTCTCCCCTGCATTTAACAACCTTGATACTTGCTCATTAAACTTGTTGATGTGATCAATTATGCTACCTCCCTCTTCCATCTTTAGTGAGTACAAGTCCATCCTCATCATCAACCGGTTAGTAAGTGTCTTCGACGCAAACTTGCTCTCCAACGTTTCCCACAGCTTCTTTGGCGATGTCTCTTTCAGCACTGTCACTTTAATCTGTGGGGACAGTGCCAACCGAATTGTGCTGACAACCTTCTTCTGGATTGTACTCCACTCTGATTCTTTCATATCACTTGGCTTCTCATCTTGCAATGCCAAATCAAGACCTTGCTGGACCAAATAGTCTTGAATCGTGCATTGCCACAACATGAAGTCCGCTCTTCCATCAAATAACGGAACTTCAAACTTCAAGGTAGTCATAGTTCCACTCAAGCAGCAATCAACCAATACCAAACAATCCAAATTTGAGGAAACTGGCCTCAAAAATGGATTCAGGACGTCAAAATTAGTCAGAACCAACTTCTCTCCGAAAGTCACCAGCGGGACCCACACAATGACTGGACCTGCTGACGTGGCAATGGGACCCACTGATGACTGGACTCGCTGACGTGGTGCTGACTGGATGATGACGTGGCACTCAGACCCACAAACTGCTGACGCGGCACTCACGAACCCACCTCTGCTG